GCGGCCACCAGAGGGCCGGCCCGCGCTCACGCCCGCACCCAAGCCGGCCAAGGCAACCCTGGGCTCGCCCCTGGCCGCCGCGGTGACCTGGCGCGGTCCGCACTCAACAGCTGACCCCGCATGGCCCGAGGGCACGCGCCGAGCCGGGAGCCAGGGATTTGGGGCCAGCAAGGCGGCCCGCACGATAACTTGGGCGACCGCCAGGGTCACCAATAGGCGGAGCAGCTGGCGATTCATTGCAGAACACAGGCTTGCCGCTGGCTTGCTAGCTTGTCCGCCCCAGAACTGGAGCGGAGATGGTTGTAGTCGCGTTGTTAATAGGCTCAGGAGTCGCCGGAAGTTGTCACCTCGGACCCGTCGCTGCACAGCCGGCAGGTAGGTGGTTCCGTCTCGGTAGTCACGGTAGTCACGGTAGTCGGTGGCGATTCTCGTGATCATGATTGTGCCATTGGCTGTTGATATTTGAAGACTATTCGTTCTGAGGCATTAAAGTTGTGCAGCGATCACGTATTAGGACAATCTGGACCCTGCCCAGATGTCGGGGTCTCATAAGACTATCTCAAGACCTCAAGCTGCCAAAGGCTGCTGCCTCTGCCATTGCATGCATCAAATGAGACTGGTCGATGCATGGATTTTGCTGGCTTGTGGTTGACAGGCATCCATCCCAATTATTTGTGTTGGCTTGGACAAGCTGATAAGATCTAGAACGTCTGAAGTGCCTGGCATGACTTTCACGGCTGCCATGGTCGATTTTTCCAAAACAACAGAGGGTTTTTGGCATCTATAGTCAGACATTTTCACAACATGAGAAGCGCCGCATTTTTACGTGCCAGCTGAAGCCAAGAAGGCCTGAGGATCGCACCATTTTTGAGGGATTGCACCATTTCTGACGCACTGATGGCCACACCCATGGGGATCGCACCACTCCTGACACACTGATGGCGCCGCCCATGGGGATCGCACCATTCCTGACACGCTGATGGGTCCATCCATGGGGATCGCACCATTTCGCATACACCAATGGCTCCATCCATCATGGAAATTATGTTTGGTTGTCAACTGCAATCACTCGTAGTTGCATTTTCTGGACAAATATTAATGACTGTATCGTAATGCTCGCTAAATGACATGCAATGGGCCACGAAGGCTCAAAATGTCCAGTCCATGGTCTAAAAAACATGCAGGTTGAGGCTGCTTATATGTGTCCAACCGAAAAATTAAGGACGAGACGAGCCGAAATACAGTGAAGAGAGAAGATTGATATGATCGAAGCACTAATCTTAGGTTCAGGATCTTCCGGGATCTGAGATACATTGTGAAAAGTTCTTCTACGATAGTAGATCCCTGATGCAAAGTTTATCGAAAAGTCAAAGGGCTTTTGTGGTCCAGGATCTTGCTCCTGGCTTCAAATGACCCCTTGGGGCCAAAGGAAAGACGCTGGCGTAGCGATTCTCACTCAACCCCAGATACAGTCTCACACTCACACTATCACAGTCTCACACCCTAGATACAGTCTCACACTCACACTCTCACCGTCTCACACCCCAGATACAGTCTCAGCCTTTACCGCAGCTCTCGCCGTGGCGCTTCGACCGTCCGGAGGGGGCAGCGCTCCCCTCGCCTCTAGAGGTGGCGCTGCTGTGTTCCTGGAGGTGGCACTGGTGTCGTTCGGGCTCTGTCCAAGGCCAAGCTCCCAGACAACGGTCGCTTGGTTGAGAGAGGAGATGACGGTCCAGTGGGGAGACGGGTGGCAGATAAGTAGATGCCTCTCAGTGTCAACGAACCCAGTATATGTTGCACAACATAACCCAACAATTTCAAGCCTTGTGAACATAGTCTTGCCCCGTTAAGCCTTGGCAAGCCTTGTTAATCTTGGTAACGCTAGATTATGTGTATCTTGGCTGAATAATGTATCAACGATGTTCCGTCATATTAAAATGTCGTCTTCATGGAAATGACATGTACTTACGCTAATCCAGAACGCGTGATGCAGTCGTCCTATTACGAATCTTTCGGGTGAAATCACAACGCTGATATGCTTGCAAAGGACTGGAGTTCTAATGATGCTTGCTAACTTTGGTTTTTGTACCTCACAATTTCTATTGGCTTACTCTGAATTTCACAACTTGTGCCATGATGGCACGCAACGAGAATCAGCAAGATTTTTTAACATTTGTTTTTCCAAGAATTCAGCAAGAATCGTCGCGATGCCAAAAGCGTACTGCAGCACTCCTGCTATTTTGCTGCTGTGTTTTGTAAGTGCTGAAGATCTGTGTAGCTTTTATATCGATGAGATTGTCCCAGAGATTAAATAAAACATGCTTCGATGCCAAAGAAGTGGTTAATTGCAATGAATTGATGCTTTGCATTACTGTTGGGTAGACACCACTAATTCACGTAGTATAGAGCCTCCAGCAGGCTTCACCAGTGCATTAGCAAGCAGTCGACGTCCTGAGCTCAAATCCATCCACCCCGGCCTGCACAACACAAAATTGTAACGCAGAAGCCTGCCCCGCCTATTAGCTAGTGTGCGTGAGACAAAAACTGCCGGAAGAGTATGACGCTGGCTGGAGTGCCAGCCGTGGGAGCGTAAAACAGTGCGGGGGAGGTCCCTGAACCATGCAGTAGAGGGGGGGGGGGGAGGGGTGGGCCGGGGCGTCAGCGGGTCGGCCGGACTGTCGGGGTTGCGCCGCTGCCAAGGCTGAAGACACGCCCCGGCAAACACAGTGTGCCGTGCGAACTGCCGGCAGAGGCCACGCCGACGAGGAGTAACATCCGCGTACGCTGGTCCGTCAGGGAGCACACACTGGGGAGGCGGGGATGGAGACCTGCACATACTGGGCCGCTAGGGGGCACACACCGGGGAGACGGAGGTGGAGACCCGCGCACGCTGGTCCGCCAGGGAGCACACACTGGGGAGGCGTGGGTGGAGACTCACGCATGCTGGTCCGCCAGGGGGCACACACTGGGGAGGCGCAGGTGGAGACCCGCGCACGCTGGTCCGTCAGGGAGCACACACTGGAGAGGCGTTGGGTGAAGACCTGCGCACGCCGGTCTACATCTTAAAATCGAATGATTACAATCGTGCGTAAGGTCGTATGACATCCAACAATCGTATACTCCATCTTTCCATTACCCAAGTGTACCCTTGTAAGTGTATCCCAAGATTATCCTGTATCCTCCCGCTTCGCTCTTAGCCCAATCTCCCAAGCACATTTGCACCAAATTTCTCCTTATTCTGAGCCCAATCCGGAACCATTATATTTCTCTTTCATACACATGTGGCTCAGAAGCCCAACGGAGACCGGTATGAACGCTGCTGGGACAATGCAACAGGCGAGCACCAGACAACACATGTCGCATCAGCCCTGGAACGTCATGTAAGTCCCGCGCAGCGAATAGTCATGGTTTGGGGGTTGGACTTGAGGTGTGCACATCATTTTCGTGAGGGGGACACGGCCTCGGGGATGCTCCAATGTTGAGCCTCATCTTCCAAGGCCGTCTGAAGTGGTGCAGGTCTTGTCATGCGTTCAGCTGCTCTGGCCGTTGAGATCCTTCGTCATTTTGTGGCGATCGGGAGAAGAAATGCAGTCGTAAACCGAGGCTCAGTCTGGATACCCGGCATCCCGAGCGGGGGGTGTGGGAGTGTGAGTGTGTGGGAGTGTGAGTGTGTGAGGGTGTGAGTGTGGGAATGTGAGTGTGGGTAGATACTCTTCTGACCAGGCTTATCCGTAATCTGGGCTGGTCTGTCCACACTCTTAGTGGCAACCGTTTTCCCTGAAACTAATCGGATGTTATCTTATCACTGAGCGTTTGTGCGTTTGTGTGTAGATAACAGTGAGAGTTGTGGTGATGAGACAGCCAATCGATGATATGCCAACCCAAGCCAGCAACTAATTTTAATACTTTGCTGTCGTTTTTTTCACAAGGTGCTGCTCTGCGTTTCTGGTAACAATCTGCTTATACTGCACTGCACTTGCACTTGCCGCTGGTAATAATCTTGCCTGCATTCAACTTGATCGGCAAATGAAAATAAGCACGTACCAGCCCTGACGTTATCCACTGTTCCTTTTTGGCTAGCTTACATTATGCAAGTGCGAACATGACGTCAAATTGACACTAATTTAGTGGTATCATGAGACAAGCAGACTAGTTGTCTGGTGCTCTCTGATAGTGGTATGCTGTCTCGAGACCAAATGAAGACAGTCCTCTGTGAACGTGAAGAAGGAGAGGATACGAATCAAGAGTTTATTTACAGCGCACAAATCACTCGACACACTCGCTGAAGTCAGGTACGTGACGAAACTCACTCTACACGCGTCCGACATTCAGCAGCAGACAAAAACAGCGCGAAACATGATTCATACACATGCATTGCCTGTATTCAATGCAGTGCAATAAATAAAGTGTTTCTAGCAGCCGAACAAGGCAGAGTTGACCGAACCCTTCATCATCTTGGCCTTCTTCAGCAGATCTAGGCCTCCTTCATGTGAGCCTGTCAGCGCTCTAGTAGTGAGAGGGCTCTGAAATGCATAACACAAACACTTATGTACACTCACTTCGTGTGATATTGCGCTCACTCCATATGAAGCAATCTCTGTTACTGGGCAATACCGCCACAAACACTCCCAGACAAAAGAACGGCCGAGTAGTCACATTTATTTGAGGTAGTCAGTACCCAGTGTTGCACAAGATTGCACCAGGTCGAAGTCTGTAATCTATCGGGGTGATGAGACGTCAGGTAATGAACGCATTCGTAGTTAATTGGTTATAGAGTCATCCTGGCGTAAGAGAAGCATCGAGTGAAACGGAAACAGTCTTAGTATCTCTGCATAGATCATACGTAAACAAATGACGAGGAAGTAAACGTTATAAGCGCCATTAGTGAATACTTGGAGCTGCCTGAAAACAGAGCGCCCAGGCGCCAAGCACAGTCAGTTCGAACAAAGCGTGAAGTCAACTGTGCCTACTCGCCGTTACATATCCAACCCTAGCCGACCTCAACTGAGCCCCGACTGACCGTAGGCCGGGGCAGTGTAGCCTCCGTGTCCGCCGTAAGGCGTGCGGTCGTAGCCGGCCGGCTGGTAGCCGTGGCCGCTCTGCTGGTAGCCGTAGCTGCGGGGCTGGTACGAGTAGCCCGCGGCGTGCGGACGGGGGCTGTACCTGCACGGGATAACGAGGCCGCGTCAATGGCGTGGGGGGAGGGGATCTTAGCTGTCACTGTTCTACGTTGTCTCATTCGAAAAAATACTCATAGTGAAGCGATCTTGATGCTGGCTTAAAGTGGATGTGGAAAGGCACATCAGTGCTGATTGCCTTCTGTGGCACAGCTTGCTGTACCAAATATAACAAAAATCATCTCGCTGTTTTTTGTTCAATGTGCCGCACCGCAACTGTAAGCATGAGCACACCACGGCTCTCTGTGGCGCGCCCAGCCCCGCTGCACACTCACGCGTTGCCGTGGCCGTAACCCTGGTCGTGACCGGCGTAGGTCACGCCCTGGTAGCCGGCGGCGTGGCCGTAGCCGGCGGCAGGGGCGTAGCCGGAGCCGTAGCTGGGGCGAGCCGATGCGTAGGCCGACTGGTGGTACGTCTGCACGGGCTGGTAGCTCGGGCGATAGCTGCTCTGATGGGGCGCGGCGTACCCCTCCGAGGCGTAGCTAGCCGGGCTGTGGTAGGGCGAGACGGGGGCGTAGCTGGGGGCGGCGCCGTGGTAGGAGGAGCTGGGCGAGTAGGCCGGCTCGGCGTGGTACGAGGGGCCCGACGAGTGGCTAGTAGACGGAGCGCGGTAGGACGAGGAGCTAGACGAGTAAGAGGGGGACGGAGCGTGGTACGAGGAGCCCGACGAGTAAGAGGGGGACGGAGCGTGGTACGAGGACCCCGACGAGTAGCCAGTAGATGGAGCGTGGTATGACGAGCTGGACGAGTACGAGGGGGACGGAGCGTGGTACGAGGAGCCCGACGAGTAGCCAGTAGACGGACCGTGGTACGACGAACTGGAAGAGTAAGTGGGGGACGGAGCTTGGTAGGACGAGCCAGAGGCGTAGCCAGCCGACGCCGCGCGGTAGGAGCTGGCAGGGGCGTAGGTGGTGGAAGGAGCGTGGTACGTGGACACTCCGGAGCTGAAACGAGGCCGAGATGTCAAACGAAGTCAGCTGAATTCCTAAAAAAAATACATGGAGTCGGTTATACGTTGCCCGTGTGTGCATGCCGCACGAAAATGTAAAATTGGCTCGGAAAAGGTGTGCTCAAACTAATTTCATCCAAATCATTATAATATGATGAATATGGCACGATTCTGCCCCCTCTCCCCTCCCACCCCCATTTCCATGGATAAGACTCTTCACTTACTGCCGGCATCTCAGCTGGTTAGTTCTCCCCAGCGTATGGCCAAAGGAGGTGACATCGATCAGCGACTAACTGCACCGAGCCGAGGCTGCTGTGGGAGAAGCTGGTGGACGAGCTGTCCGTCTTCAGGTCCTCAGTCGCCTTCTTCTCCTCGGCGGCCAGGCAGGCCGTGGCCAGAAGGCCCACCACAAACAGCTGCCGACGGAGCGGCCGATCAAGTCAAGGCATGGCGTGGCAGGACAGGTAGAGGTAGGACAGGACAAGGCAGTACATGACAGGGCAAAACGGGACAGACACATTACAAAGTCACCAGCATAACAATGGGTCAGTAAAGGAGGGCCATTCAGGCAAGATCAAGTCGAAAATTCCGTTACATGTGGTACGGAGTAAGGTTCTGGCTCGGACCAGTCACCCTGGTATCCTGCACTCGTAGTGTTAACGGGGTAAGTATGAAGCTTGGCAATCGTTCATTTATTCAGTCTCTCATGTTACTGGCGAATCCCGTCCGAGTGGATTATTGTTTGATTAAATACACGTTGATATTACACTACTAAAGCAGTGAAAAAAGTAACCACTTGGGTAGACTCATAGAAACTACACCACATTAATTCATTCGAAGATGTCTCGTCTAACGAGTTGAATTTTTGACACCTACGGCCAGCCCGGCTGTTCGGTGTTTACCAGATGACCTTTTGAGGTGACGTGAGATGAGATGGCCGTTTGAGGCCATAGAAGTTTTGCCAAAATATTCGGTAGAAAAATACCTCACATATGTATCTCAGTAATAAGTGCAGCCAGACAGAAACGAGTTGGTATGCCTTACGTATTTTCAAGCATGTGAATTATCTACATTACGTGATCAAACTGAACCAAAAAACATCGAGGTGATAACCTTCCTTTGATCTGATCTGAACCTGAACTGACCCGACCTTATCCCATGACCCTGATCTGTAATATTGTATGGCTGTGTGTGGTATGAAAATGTTTTGTCTCCTTGTCTCCAGCTAAAAAGCTCTATAAACATGATGACGATGTTCTGGAAGATCTGAAGGTATTCGATGGCTCGGTGATTTTGTTTCATCATTAGCACCCCAAAAGACAGCACGCAAAATCCAAGGCTTTTAAAATAATTGCATCACCAAAAGAAAACTCTAGTAAATTATGGCACCAAGATCAAGTGAGAGAGCACGACGCAAGTTTCTCTTTATGTAAGCCGAAATCCATTTTTATAGCTTATATATAGCTATATATAGCTTATATATATATAGCCAAGTATAGCTTACGTAGTGTCCCTCCGCTAGAACACTCGATAGCGTAGTTGAATACCAATCTTAAAAGACAACTTTAAAGAAAACTACCCTCTGCCCTCTGTACTGTCGCGTCGCTGTCCTCAAAGGAAGCTTCAAAACCCAAACCTCGTTTTTTAACCAATCGACGTCGATTGAGTCTGAACATTCATTTGTTAACTGCTGAAACTATTGGAAACAGTCGTCTTTAGCAAGCAACGCCAGTCGGCTAAGTATACCTTACGCTCTTTGTTGTCTCAAACTCGAATGGAATATAAAAAAACGTATGAGCAGACTTGATGCATGTTGTCAGATGCATAGTTGTCAAGATAGTGTGGTATCGATACAATAGTTAATTGCTGACGGGTGATAATCATTAGATTAAATGCGATGTTACCTCATTGAATCACCTACTTCCACACACACACACTGCACATGTTATGCGAAATCACCTAATTTTGTAATCAAGATAAGCATTCGGTTGTCTTAGAATCCGAAATATTGCGGGACAAGTTAATGCATCAGCCCATTCGAGGGTGCACAAATACAGGCTATATGTGCTCGTTACCTGATGTGGCGGCTCCTGTCCACACGGCCCCAACTCACCTTACTGAACATGCTTAACGCTTGTGAGTCCGACTGCAACGTTCACTGACTGCACATGAGCTCTGCGTCTCCCTTATATACCGCCGACAGCGCCACACCACTTTCCCGCCTCTAGCACGGGGCGTTGGCACGCGCCAAGGTTGACACCCACCCAGAGACCCACCGTCCCCTCGGCTGACTTGAGAGGGGGGAGGGGCGTAGCCGGGGCGTGGTACTCTGGCAGGCAATCTTCACTCCGGTCATGACCTGTGATAGTTGGGTGTGCGGTCTTTCTCATGTGCGATCACACAGAGGCGTCTCTTTGCCACCGCGGTGGTGCACACGATGTGAGGCAGCGTTTAGATGAAGATTTCTGTGCTGAGAAATGAGTGCTGGGTGGAGCACTCGCAGGCCCACTCATGCTCGAGGTGTTTTATCTTGCATATCAACGGGACTGACCCAGTGTTCATATACGAGGCCAGGGGCGAAGGGCAGAAAACGATTACCCCAGCCCTGCCATTTTAAAGTGTTTCGAATAAAAATGGCCTTAAGCACGCCTATGTTTACGGCGCCACACACCATTGCAGAATTGCAACTATAGGGAAGCGCTTTTGATCAACTTGGAGCAACCTGAGATGGGTTTCATGTGTTTGAAGGCAACACTGATGATGCAAAGTCCCGTTACGTGACGGTAACGTCACTGCCACACACCAACGGAAAATATCTCGGTTCCCGCCCGCCGTCCGCGCCGGCAGCAAATTGCCGTTGAGTGACTCTAATAAAACATAGCGCTCCTCAGTAACTATATATGCTACAGACATAACGTTGGTGTCGAAACATCCGCAATAAATACCCATGAGTCTACTGAGAATTCAGGCTCGCTTGCACGACACGCCTGGGACCATTTGGCCAAATTTCTTGCGCAAGTTTGCATCCCTCACCAACCATCGGGGAGAAAGGTTCTATAACATTTGTATTATTTACTTGATGTGCTTTTTCAATCGGCGAGTCGCAAGCGCCATATATGTGAAGATGATGGATTTAATGACTGCTTAAACTGTTGTCATTATCGACGAAACTATAACTGCCGCTCTCGTCGTCGTTAATGGATTGTGCATTAGATGAATCTGTGACTCCAACACTTTCTTCCAAAGATGTCACAATGTATGAAGTGACGATGTTGAAAATGTGGCATCAATGCTGTCAATGCTCGCATCGAACGCTCCCAAACAATCTCGCATGCAGAATACGTCAGAGCCACTGACCTAAATATCGTTTACCTGGTAATAATGTAGGGCAGAGAGGTCCGAGACAGGTGAGATCTTGCAACACCAATTAAGTCCATTTCTATTACGGTAACTGGACCGTGCAGCTGCAGGACATCTTCCTCCTTGGTGATGGTGATATTCAGGTCAGGTCTTGTCACGGCATGCGTATACAGCATTTCCCGGAGAATACTCTGTTCAGCCAATTAAGAAAAAGAAGTTTCAAAGCTTTAACATAGTCACTCAACATATCACTGTTTCAGTTGAACAAAATTGCAGATATAACTGGAACACATAAATTTTGGCCACCGTTGACATAAAGTTGGCGAAATCCGGTTACCCATTTTTCGGGGAGAGCCATTTCCCTAGCAGGACCCCACATTAACACTGTGTCCTCCGTCCCCCACCAAGAGTCTGGCTGTGCCCTTGACCCCATGGGAGGAACCCGGATTTCATGGGACTCCAGGTGCATATGAGATCCTTGGGTCATAATCCAAAACCTTTTTGGGCATATTTCTACTTGAGGCATAGCAAATCATCTTATAATTTATTTCACCTGTTGTACCTGACTTTGCTTGGCACATTAGATTTCCAGCAGGCCAATTGCCAGTCGGTGGCCTCAGCTGATCAGATGTTCTGAGCCTCTTTGATGTTGAGGTCAGACGGGATTTCCTGTTTAGGTGAGGTGTTTTGGTATTTTTGATGTTCCGAACAGATGTTATTTGGAACGCCAGAAGTGCTAGAAGTTTGTAGGTAACGTAATTTGTGTTTTGAACCAATTTTGCATCCCCGAAAAAAATGGCATTCGGCATTGATCTTTGTTAGAAGAGATCGAGCGCTTAATAGATATGCTGTGAGCATATTAGATGTTTTAATACAGTTTTTGGCTGAAGAGCTGCACCCAGGCCTGGAGGCGCTTGACAATGCCTTCCGCGTGATAGTTAGGTAACAGGCAGTAACCAGTAATGACTCAGGTGACTCAAGACTCTAGTCCGACCAGTGCCCGGGGCAAGGCCGGTCCACTCCGGTCCACCGTCAACTCGTGCCCGATGATCATGGAACACTGAGAATATAGCCACTGACAATATGTAAGACGCAACAACGATGAAGGCGTATTGAGGAGATTTTACACAGCAGGTGACTTTGTCCAACATTCTAACTTTGGCCTGAGAGAGATAAATGACTCTCTCATCTTTTAAAGCGCTGTCTTAAAGATTGAGTCGTACGCGACTTCACAGGCTTGACCTGAACCGATATTCGCATTCCCCGTGGCACGTGTGGAGGGCGTTGTTTTACAAAATAAATGAGTGGGACTGGTTAGTGAAAAATGATTTTACACACCAATGAATCAGGCCAACAAAGGGGTTGGAGCCTAAGTTTGGGAGATTTAAGGCCTCAAAACATCAAACGGCATCCCGTGCGTGGTCTAGAGCTTTATCTCCAAGTTTGGTCGCATGGTGTGCCTGTCATGTCTAGTCAGCGGAGGTCAAAGGCAGTCAGCGGAGGTCAAATGTCATTACCGTTTTAACACCTCATCGTAGCATGTCAAGAATCTGTGGTGTACACTTAGTGGAATCAAAACGAACAAACATGTGCTTTCACCTCACAATGTAACCCTGTTCTGGGCCGGAGAATGTATTTCTCCCCCCCCCCACACTTTTTCTGTGGTCTCTTTAAAACGGCTATCTGTTGGTGGTTGAACATTCGAAATTTTCCTAAATATTCGTTTCCACAGACTGAGTCAAATCTTAGGATCCATGGTATGGTCAGGAGCAGTTCCAGTGCTCAATTTTGGTAGGGAACTCAAGTGGGATTTCACGGTTATGGCAGGATGGTGACTCTCGAAGTTGTACGCGCTGCCTAGCATTCGCGGGACTCGTACTTCCGGCAAATAACACAGCGTATACAAGATTGTGAAATTGCAAGATACGACGCAGCATGGCAAAAGCGGTTTCAGGGCACAAAAAGCAGGTATTTTCAAACCGTGTCAAATGTATTACGGGTGCAAAATGTAGAGATGTAAAGACGCTGTGGTAAGTTGATGCAGAGCTTTGCATTCCACATGAAATCTAAGCAAAACATGGCATATGCTCTAACAAAGTAGTGCCCCAGTTTGGCAACAGTGTCGTAAAGGAATGCAGTGTCATACTAAACTGTCTACTCCTTGCTCTGAGCTGAATCCGGAGTCCATTATGCTCCTGTGTAGTATGTGCTCCTTGCTCCTTCCCATGTAGTGCAGAAACACAACATTGACTTGTATGAGCAATGCTGGGACGATACAAAAGGCGAGCGACAGGCGACATAAGTCGCATCAGGCTTGGAGCATGTTTCAAGGGAGTGTTATACATTTGAAGAGTTGGAAGAGAGCATCAGATGTGATGAAGTAACCTCACTTACAGCTGGTAGTATCCGTTTAAGTGGAGAAAAACTATCTAAAGAATAAAAGTTCACTTTTTAGTACATATACTGTTTATCATGTCCTTGTTTGACTGCTCCACAGAACACTTGCGTGACAGTGTTCACTTGTAGTTCTCCGATCTTCCGAGAGGTGGCGCGCGGCGACGCTAGATGTGCGCTGAATCAATTTTTTTGACTGCGTGTGCTTTGGCCTGTTCTCGTGGTGCCCTTGTCTTTTTATCCACGGCTTTAAGACGTGTATTTCTATTCACATCCTTTATTATGGTACTTTTATTCAGCTATTAGAGGATGGGCTTGGCTGACGGGCCTGGAGCGCCCACCTATTTTTGGTATGGGGTGCACGGGCTTCGGAGATGCTGCATTATTGAGCCTCATTTCCTCAGGCCGTCTAAAACTGGTCGGGGTCCTGCCATGCATTCAGCAGCTGCTGTGGCTGCTTCAGGCCCTTCGTCACTCCGTGGCGGACGAGAGAAGAAAATGCAGTCGTGGGCCAAGGCTCAGCCTGAATACCAGCCAGCACGAGTGTGGAGTTTGAGTACAAACTCTTCTGACCAGGATTTTCCGTAATGTGGGGCTAGTCCGTCTGTGCTCTTAGTGGCAGCACCTTTCCCTGAAACTTATCGAAAGTCAATGTATTACTGAGTGCATCGTATGCTTGTGTTTAAATGTTATTGAGAATTGTGGTCATGAGACAGGCGTCAGATGATATGCCAAGCCAGGCCAGCAGTTGATTGTGCTGATTTTCTTGCCATTTTTCGTCAAATGGCTTATGCCTACTTTGTTGACGGCAATGTCCTTATACTGCGCCGCACTTGCACTTGCTGCTTGCAACAATTTGGCCTCAATTGAATTTGATCCGCAGCAGAACATACGCACTTACCAGCCCTGGCGTTATTCACTGTCGCAGCTTAGCCGGCTTACGTTAAGCAAGTACGAACGTGACGTCATATTGCTACTGATTTAGTGTCATCACGAGGTAAACCATCTCGTTGTCTGTTACATTCTGATAGTGGTTTGTTATCTCACAATTGGCTGAGCACAGTCCTCTGTGAACGTGGAGAAACAGAGAACACAAATCAAAAGTTTATTTACAGCGCACAAATCTCTCGGTACACTCGCTGAAGTCAGGTACGTGACACAAAATCACTCTGCATTCCTTCCACACTCCGCAGCAGACATCAACAGCGAGAAACATGATTCATGCGCATGCATTGCCTGTGTTCAATGCAGTGCAATAAATAAAGTGTTTCTAGCAGCCGAGAAAGGTAGAGTGGATCGACGCCTTCATTATCTAGACGTTCAGCAGATCTAGGCCTCTTTCCTGGGAGCCAGTCAACGCTCTAGTAGTGGGAGAGCTCTGAAATGTACGAAACATTCCCTTATGTACACTCATTTCGTGATACATTGCACTCACACCGTGCAATGTACCGCAAATGTACCGCAATGTACTCCCACTTCGTCAGACATTGCATTCAGTCGCTATGAGGCAATCCCTTAAGGACGAGACGATACCGTCACAAACACGCCCCGCCAGAAGAGGGGCCGAGTAGTCACATTTATCTGAGGTAGTCAGTACCTCATGTTGTAGAAGGTTGCAACAGGTCTAGGTCTGTAGTCTACCGGGGCGATGATACGTTTTAGCAAGGAACTCATTTGTACTTCATTGGTTATTTACAATCGACCTGGCGTAACAAAAGCATCGAAGTGAAAAGAAAACAGTCCTAGCATCTCTGCATAGATCATGCGTCAACACATGGCGAGGGAGTAAACATTCTAAGCGTCATTAGTGACTACTTGAAGCTGCCTGAAAACAGAGCGCCCAAGCGCCAAGCACAGTCAGTTCGAACAAAGCGTGAAGTCAACTGTGCCTACTCGCCGCTACGTATCCGACCCTAGCCGACCTCAATTGAGCTCTGACTGACCGTAGGCCGGGGCAGCGTAGCCCCCGTGTCCGCCGTGAGGCGTGCGGTCGTAGCCGGCCGGCTGGTAGCCGTAGCCGCTCTGCTGGTAGCCGTAGCTGCGGGGCTGGTACGAGTAGCCTGCGGCGTGCGGACGGGGGCTGTACCTGCACGGGATGACGAGGCCGCGTCAATGGCGTGGGGGGAGGGTGTCTTAACTGTCACTGTTCTACACTGTCTCATTCGAAAAAAGAATACTCACAGTGAAACGATCTTGATGCCGGCTTAACATGGATGTGGAAAGGCACATCAAAGCTGACTGCCTTCTGCATCACAGCTTGCTGTACCAAATGTAACAAAAGTCATCTCGCTGTTTTTTGTTCAAGGTGGCGCACCGCAACTGTAAGCATCAGCACACCACGGCTCTCTGTGGCGCGCCCAGCCCCGCTGCACACTCACGCGTTGTCGTGGCCGTAACCCTGGTCGCGACCGGCGTAAGTCACGCCCTGGTAGCCGGCGGCGTAGCCGTAGACGGCGGTCGGGGCGTAGCCGGAGCCGTAGCTGGGGCGAGCCGGGGCGTGGGCCGACTGGTGGTACGTCTGCACGGGCTGGTAGCTCGGGCTGGTAGCTGCTCTGATGGGGCGCGGCGTGCCCCTCCGAGGCGTAGCTAGCCGGGCCTGTGGTAGGGCGAGACGGGGGCGTAGCTGGGGGCGGCGCCGTGGTAGGAGGAGCTGGGCGAGTAGGCCGGCTCGGCGTGGTACGAGGGGCCCGACGAGTAGCTAGTAGACGGAGCGCGGTAGGACGAGGAGCTGGACGAGTAAGAGGGGGACGGAGCGTGGTACGAGGAGCCCGACGAGTAGCCCGTAGACGGAGCGTGGTGCGACGAGCTGGACGAGTAGGTGGGGGACGGAGCGTGGTACGAGGACCCCGACGAGTAGCCAGTAGACGGAGCGTGGTAGGACGAGCTGGAGGAGTACGAGGGGGACGGAGCGTGGTACGAGGAGCCCGACGAGTAGCCAGTAGATGGAGCGTGGTACAACGAGCTGGAAGAGTAAGTGGGGGACGGAGCGTGGTAGGACGAGCCAGAGGCGTAGCCAGCCGACGCCGCGTGGTAGGAGCTGGCAGGGGCGTAGGTGGTGGAAGGAGCGTGGTACGTGGACACTCCGGAGCTGAAACGAGGCCGAGATGTCAAACGAAGTCAGCTGAATTCCTAAAAAAAATTCATGGAGTCGGTTATACGTTGCCCGTGTGCGCATGCCGCACGACAATGTAAAATTGGCTCGGAAAAGGTGTGCTCAAACTAATTTCATCCAAATCATTATAATATGATGAATATGGCACGATTCTGCCCCCCTCTCCCCTCCCACCCCCATTTCCATGGATAAGACTCTTCACTTACTGCCGGCATCTCAGCTGGTTAGTTCTCCCCAGCGTATGGCCAAAGGAGGTGACATCGATCAGCGACTTACTGCACCGAGCCGAGGCTGCTGTGGGAGAAGCTGGTGGACGAGCTGTCCGTCTTCAGGTCCTCAGTCGCCTTCTTCTCCTCGGCGGCCAGGCAGGCCGTGGCCAGAAGGCCCACCACAAACAGCTGCCGACAGAGCGGCCGGTCAGGTCAGGGCATGGCATGCCAGGATAGGGCAGGGTAGGGCAGAAATGGGCAGGGCATGACAGGGAAAAACAGAGCATGATAGGACAGAGCAGGGCATGGCAGGACATGGCAGGGCAGGACAGGGCAGGGCGGGACTAGGCACGGCAGGCCAGTACCAGGCACGGCAGGGAGGGCAGAGCAGGGCAGGACTAGGCATCGCAGGGCAAGACTAGGCACGGGAGGGAGCGCAGGGCAGGACGGGGCAAGGCAGGGCAGACACATCACAAATCCCCTAGCATAGCAATCGGTCAGTCCAGGAGGGCCAGGTGCAAGCACCACAAACGGCTACCAGCAGAGTCGCAGGCCAGATCAGGGTACGCGAGGCCACTTCAAGTCATGTCAGGCAAGATCAAGTCAGAAATTCCGTTACACCTGACGCGGAGGAAGAGCCTGGCGCAGACCAGTCACCCTTGTGTACAGCATTCGTGGTGCTAACGGACTACGTACGAAGCTTGGCAATCGTTCATTTGTTCAATTTCTCACGTTACTGGCGAATTATGTCTGCGCGGGTTATGGTTTGATTCGTGCACATTGACATTACAGTAATACAACAGTGATAAAAAACAACTACTTGGCTATACCCGTGAAAAGGCATTACACATTAATCGTCAGATCATGACATTACGCAAAGGACGCTTATTACAATGTGAAAACGCGTAGTGATCAATGTAAGCCTTTATTTTGTAACGCAAAATATCAACATACCCGTGACGTCACTGGAAGTAGTGAGCAAGTGTTAAGTTGAAATATTAGATACCTCACATGTGTAACTGAGTAATAAAGGCAGACAGCCATAAACAAGCTCGTATGCCATACATATTTTCAAGTGAATGAATTATCGATATCACGTGATAAAAATGAGCCAAAAAACATCCAGGTGGTAACCTTCCTGTGATCTGATTTGACCTTGACCTGACCTGACCTTATTTCATGACCCTGATTAGCAATATGGTATAACTATGAGTGGTAAGGAAATGCTTTTTCGCCTTGGTACCAGCTACAAAGCTTTATAACTGTGGTGACGAAGTTGTAGCAGATCTGAAGGCATTCGATGATTTGACGATGTTTTTTCACCTTCATCGCCTCAATAGGCAGCACGCCAAATCCAATGCTTTCGAAATTATTGCAGCGTGAAGAGGAAACTTTAGACCATGTTGGCACCAAGATCTGAGAGATCTTGACTCAAGGTTCTCGGTATATAAGCCCAAACCAATTTTTCGAAGTTAATTATTCCATTAACTTTGTTCCCCATCTACACACGATATGAAATCTGCCTGATGAAAGGTAACGTGGATTGCCTCTCCACTAGAACCTTCGATAGCGTAGTTGAATACAGATCTCAGTAATGTTGTGGCTTTACATATAAGGGTGTGTTCGACGCCATGGATATCTAGAGCTACGTAACTACGTATTGGCATGAATATTTTTCACATTTTTTGCGGTATAACAGATATTGCGGTATAGCATTTCTTTTGCGGGGCCACCGATCAGAGAAAACAAAATTAGGGTGATTTGTGGTTAGACTGTCGCGAGACACGTACCAAGGGAGCAACAATGGACATCATAAAGCAAAGGTGCTTTTGAGCTGCCACTTATTAATTACCAGACGGACCAGCACGTCTAGGGCGACTCGTGATCACCGATGCTTTTGGGCGGTCCGATGTTGATTTTCTATGGATCAATGAAGCCACGTGATCCTCATCACCGATGGGCGAATCTAGCATCGAATCACGTGACGCCGAGGAGGCTGTATGCCGTCTCGGCACGGACTAAGTCAACGTTCTCTACACACAAGCAGTCGTCTTCAAAGAAAAGCTTTGAAATCCAAGCCTTGTGTCTTAACCAATCAGCGTCGATTTGATTTGGGCATTCGGTTCTTAACTGCTGAAATTGTTGGAAACAGTTATAGTCAGCGAGCAATGCCAGTTGGCTAAGTATAACTTACACTCTTTGCTGTCTAAACTCAAATGAAATATAATAACAAATGAACAAGCTTGACTGTATTTTTGCAGACGCCCTCTTCAGGTGGTATGAAAATTTTGGGAAAGCGTGGAACCATGTGACTAAGAGTTCAGAGTCAAAGGTTTACGGTACATTCAGTAGCAATGAAGAGTGTACAGTAGAATCTTGATAAGCGATAGTACAGACATAGAGAGAGTCTGCCATCGATAAAATGATTAAATGGTGACAGGTGACAACCATTGAAATAAATGCGATGTTACCTCGTTGAATTACCTAATTTCACACAAACACTGCACATGTTATACGAAAGCCAGCCAAATTGGTATGCAAGATAGGCATTCGTTTGACTTAGAATCCGAAAAATCACGGGAGAGGCTAGTGCATCAGCTCATTCGAGGGTGCGCAAATGCAGGCTGCATATGCTCGTTAGCTGTTGTGGCGGCTCCTGTCCACACGGCCCCTACTCACCTTACTGAACATGTTTAATCTCTTGTGAGTCCGACTGCAACGTTCACTGACTGCAGCTGAGCTCTGCGTCTCCCTTATATACCGCCAACAGCGCCACACCACTTTCCCGCCTCTAGCCCGGGGCGCCGGCACGCGCCAAGGCTGACACTCACCCAGAGACCCACCGTCCCCTCGGCTGACTTGAGAGGGGGGGGGGGGGGCGTGGCTGGGGCATGGTACTCTGGCAAGCAATCTTCATCCCGGTCATGACCTGTGATGGCTGGGTGTGCGGTCTTTCCCATGTGCGATCACACAGGGGCGTATCTTTGCCACTGCGGTGGTGCACACGATGTGAGGCAGCGTTTGGATGAAGATTTCTGTGCTGAGAAGTGGGTGACGGGTGGAGCACTCGCAGGACCGCTCATGCGCGAGGTGTTTTATCATGCATGTCAACGGGACTGACCCAGTGTTCATATACGAGGTCAGAGGCGAAAAGCAGAAAACAATTACTTCCGCCCGGATTAGGCGTTTTCATGATGCGAACGTATAGGTTGATGCGACGGAACCCAGCCCCGCCATTTCAAATTGTTTTGAATAAACATGGACTTAAGCACGCCTATGTTTACGGCGCCACACACCATTGCAGAATTGCAACCATAAAGGGATGCTTGTGATTCATTTGGAGCAAACTGAGATGGGGCTCATGTGCTTGAAGGCAACATTGATGATGTAGAGTCCCGTTACGTGACGGTAACGTCACTCCCACACGCCAACGGGAAATTTCTCGGTTCCCGCCCGCCGTCCGCGTCGGCCGCAAATTGCCGTTGAGTGACGCTAATAAAACATATCGCTTCTCAGTAACTATATATGCTACAGACATATCGTTGGTGTCGAAACATCCGCAATGAATACCACTGAGGCTACTGAGTATTCAGGCTCATTTGCACGACACGCCTGGGATCATTTAGTCAGATTTCTTGCGCAAGTTCACCTTCCTCCCCCACTATCGGGGAGAGGGTTTCCATAACGTGTGTAATATTAAGTTGACGTGCTTTTTCAATCGGTAGGTCGCAAGCGTCATGGATGTGAAGATGATGGATTGATTGACTGTTTAAACTGTTGTCATTATCGACGTGGCCATGATTGGCGCTCTCGTCGTCGCTAATGGATTGAGCATTAGATGAGTCTGTGACGCCTGCACTTTCTTCCAAAGATGTCACAATGCATGAAGTGACGATGTTGAAAATGTCGCACCCATGCTGTCAAAGGTCGCATCGAACGCTCTCAAACAATCTCGCATGCAGAATACGTCAGAGCCAGTAGCCTAAATATTGTTTACCTGGTAACAATGTGTGGCAGAGGGGTTCAAGACAGGCGAGATCTTGCAGCATTAATTAGGGTAATTTATATTGCAATAACTGGGCCATATTGCTGCAGGACATCTTGCTTCTTGGTAATGGTCATATTTAGGTCAGGTCTTGTCACGGCATGCGCATAAAGCGTTTCCCCCGAGAACATTCTGTCCAGCAAACTAAGAAAAAAGTTTCAAAGCTTTAACATCGTCACTCAGTACATTGCCGTTTCGGTTGAAGAAAGCTGCGGATAAGAATAGAACAAAGAAATTATGTCCACCGTTGAAATAAAGTTGGCGAAATCCGGTAACTCATTTTAAGGGGAGGGGCATTTCACTAGCAGGACCCCCACGGTAACACTGTGTCCTCCGTCCCCCACCAAGAGTCTGGCTGTGCCTTTGACCCCAGGGGAGGATCCAGGATTTCATAAGACTCCAGGTGTGTATGAGATCCTGGGGTCATGATCCAAAACGTTTTTGGGCACACGTCTACTTGAAGCATAGCAGATCATCTCATGGTTTACTTCAACTCCTGTACCTGATTTTGCTTGGCACATTAGATTTTCAGTAGGCCGAATTTCCAGTCGGTGGCCTCAGCTGATCAGATGCTCTGAACCTCTGATGTTCAGGCCAGACGGGATTTCCTGTTTAGGTGAAGTGTTTTGGTATTTTTGATGTTCAGAACAGCTGTTATTTGGAACGCCAGAAATGCCAGAAGTTTGCGGGTATTGTAAGTTGTGTTTTGAACAAATTTTGCATACCAGAAAAAATGGCACTTGCCATTGATCTTTGTTAGAAGAGATCGAGTGCCTAATGGATATGCCGTGAGCATATCAGATGTTTTAATAGAGTTGTCGGATGAAGATCCGCACCCAGGCCTGGAGGCGTATGACAATGCGTGCTGCGCGATAGTTAGGTGACAGGCAGTGAACGATGATGACTCAGGTGACTCAAGACTCTAGTCCGACCAGTGCCCGAGACAAGGCCGGTCCACTCCGGTCCACCGTCAACTCGTGCCCGATGATCATGGAGCACTGATAATGTAGCCACTGTCGATATGTAAGACACAACAACGATGAAGGTGTATTGAGGAAATTTTACCCAGCAGTTGACTTTGTTCAGCATTCTAACTTTAGCCTGAGAGAGATAAACCCCCATCTTTTAAAGCGTTGTGTTAATGATGGAGTCGTACGCGACTTCACAGGTTTGACCTTGACCTGAACCGATAGTCGCATCGGCAGTGGCACGTGTGAAGGACGTAGTTTTGCAAAATGAATGAGTGGGGCTGATTAGTGAAAAATGGTTCTACACCAATAAATTAGGCCAACGAAGGGGTTGAAGCCTAAGTTGCGGAGATTTAAGGCCTCAAAACATTAAACGGCATCCCGTGCGTGGTCTAGAACTGTATCTCCGATTTAGGTCGCATAATGTACTTGTCATGTCTAGTCAACAGAGGTCAAAGGCCAGTCAGCCGAGGTCAAATATCATTACCTTTTTAACGCCTTACCGTAGCATGTCAAGAATTCGTGGTGTACACTTAGTGGAATTAAAACGAGCAAACATGCGCTTTCACCTAATAACGTAACCCCGTTCTGGGCCGGAGAATGAATTCCCCCCTACCCTTTTTCTGTGGTTTCTTTAAAACGGATACCTGTCGGTGGTTGAACACTCGAAATTTTTCTCAATATTTGCTACCACAGACTGAGCCAAATCTTAGAATCCATGGTATGGGCAGGAGCAGTTCCAGTGCTCAATATTGGTAGGGAACAAGTGGGATTTCACGGTTATGGCAGGATGGTGACTCTCGGAGTTGTATGCACAGCCTAGCATTCGCCGGACTTACCCGTACTCCCGGCAAATAACAGCTGGAACAAGAGTGTGACATTGCAAGATACGACGCAGCATGGCAAAAGCGGTTCCAGCGCTCCAAAAAGCAGGAGTTTCAAGTTGTGTCAAATGTATTACGGATGCAAAATGTAAAGAGATAAAAGACGTTGTGGTAAGTTGGTACAGAGCTTTACATTCAAGGTGAAATTTGAACAAAACATGCATAAACAGTAAGAAAGGGGTGACCCAGTTTGGCAACAGTGTTGTAAAGGAGTACAGCGTCATACTAAACCATCTTCTGTTTGCTCCGAGCTGAATCCAGAGCCCATTATATTCCTCTCCCAGGCCCATGTAGTGCAGAAGCACAACAATCACTTGTATGAGCAATGCTGGGACGATACAAAAAGCGAACGACAGGCGACATCAGTCGCATCAGGCTTGGAGCATGTTTAATGGGAATGTTCCACATTTGAAGAGTGTGAAGCGAACATCAGATATGATGAAATAACCTCGCGTACAACTAATAGTATACGTTTAAGTGGAAACATTTTGTGCACAAAAAAGCTTACTATTTAGTATATCTGCTGTTCATTATGTGATTGTTTGACTGCTCCATAGAACATTTGCACGACAGCACTCGCTTGTAGTTCTTCAGCCTTCCGATAGGTGGCGCGCGGCGACGCTAGATGTGTGCTGAATCAAATATTTTTAGCTGCGCGTGCTTTGGCCTGATCTCGTGGTGCTCTTGCCTATTCATCTACCGCTTTAAGCCGCTTGCTTCTATTCACATGCTTTAATATGGCACTTTCATTAAGCTCTTCGATGTTGGGGATGGGCTGACGGGCTCGGAGCGGCCACCTAATTTTGGTATGGGGTGCACGGGCTCACGTAGGTAAACCATCTCGGTGTCTGTCACGTTCTGATAGTGGCATGTTATCTCACGATTGACTGAGCACGGTCTTCTGTGAACGTAGGGAAACAGAGAACACAAATCAAAAGTTTATTTACAGCGCACAAATCCCTCGGCACACTCGCTGAAGTCAGGTACGTGACAAAAATCACTCTACATTCCTCCGCCACTCCGCAGCAGACATCAACAGCGCGAAACATGATTCATACGCATGCATTGCCTGTATTCAATGCAGTGCAATAAATAAGGTGTTTCTAGCAGCCGAGAAAGGTAGAGTGGATCGATGTCTTCATTATCTAGGCCTTCTTCAACAGATCTAGGCCTGTTCCCTGGGAGCCAGTCAACGCTCTAGTAGTGGGAGGGCTCTGAAATGTACCAAACAGTCACTTATGTACACTCACTTTGTGAAACATTGCATTCAGTCGATATGAGGCAATCCCCTAAGAACGAGACGATACTGTCACAAACAGGCCCCGCAAGAAGAGGGGTCGAGTAGTCACATTTATCTGAGGTAATCAGTACCTCGTGTTGTGGAAGGTTGCAACAGGTCTAAGTCTGTAGTCTTGGTGATACGCTTTAGCACGGAAAACATTTGTAATTCATTGGTTATTTAGAATCGCCTCGGTGTAACAGAAGCATTGAGTGAAACAGAAGCAGTCTTAGTATCTCTGCATAGATCATACGTAAACAAATGACGAGGAAGTAAACATTATAAGCGTCATTAGTGACTACTTGGAGCTGCCTGAAAACAGAGCGTCCAGGCGCCAAGCACAGTCCGTTCCAACAACGCGTGAAGTCAACTGTGCCTACTCGCCGTTACGTATCCGACCTTAGCCGACCTCAATTGAGCTCTGACTGACCGTAGGCCGGGGCAGCGTGGTCTCCGTGTCCGCCGTAAGGCGTGCGGTCGTAGCCGGCCGGCTGGTAGCCGTAGCCGCTCTGCTGGTAGCCGTAGCCGCGGGGCTGGTACGAGTAGCCTGCGGCGTGCGGACGGGGGCTGTACCTGCACGGGATGACGAGGCCGCGTCAATGGCGTGGGGGGAGGGTGTCTTAACTGTCACTGTTCGACACTGTCTCATTCGAAAAAAGAATACTCACTGTGAAACGATCTTGATGCTGGCTTAACATGGATGTGGAAAGGCACATCAAAGCTGACTGCCTTCTGCATCACAGCTTGCTGTATCAAATGTAACAAAAATCATCTCGCTGTTTTTTGTTCAAGGTGGCGCACCGCAACTGTAAGCATCAGCACACCACGGCTCTCCGTGGCGCCCCCAGCCCCGCTGCACACTCACGCGTTGTCGTGGCCGTATCCCTGGTCGCGACCGGCGTAGATCACGCCCTGGTAGCCGGCGGCGTAGCCGTAGCCGGCGGTCGGGGCGTAGCCGGAGCCGTAGCTGGGGCGAGCCGGGGCGTAGGCCGACTGGTGGTACGTCTGCACGGGCTGGTAGCTCGGGCGGTAGCTGCTCTGATGGGGCGCGGCGTACCCCTCCGAGGCGTAACTAGCCGGGCCGTGGTAGGGCGAGACGGGGGCGTAGCTGGGGGCGGCGCCGTGGTAGGAGGAGCTGGGCGAGTAGGCCGGCTCGGCGTGGTACGAGGGGCCCGACGAGTAGCCAGTAGACGGAGCGTGGTACGACGAGCTGGACGAGTAGGTGGGGGACGGAGCGTGGTAGGACGAGCCAGAGGCGTAGCCAGCCGACGCCGCGTGGTTGGAGCTGGCAGGGGCGTAGGTGGTGGAAGGAGCGTGGTACGTGGACACTCCAGAGCTGAAACGAGGCCGATATATCAAACGAAGTCAGCTGAATTCCTAAAAAAATTCATGGGGTCGGTTATACGTTGCCCGTGTGTGCATGCCGCACGAAAATGTGAAATTAGCACGGAAAAGATGTGCTCAAACTAATTTCGTCCAAATCATTATAATATGATGAATATGGCACGATTCTGCCCCCTCTCCCCTCCCACCCCCATTTCCATGGATAAGACTCTTCACTTACTGCCGGCATCTCAGCTGGTTAGTTCTCCCCAGCGTATGGCCAAAGGAGGTGACATCGATCAGCGACTAACTGCACCGAGCCGAGGCTGCTGTGGGAGAAGCTGGTGGACGAGCTGTCCGTCTTCAGGTCCTCAGTCGCCTTCTTCTCCTCGGCGGCCAGGCAGGCCGTGGCCAGAAGGCCCACCACAAACAGCTGCCGACAGAGCGGCCGGTCAGGTCAAGGCATGGCATGGCAGGGCATGTCAGCAGGGCAAGGAAGTGCAGGGAAGGGCAGGGCAGGGAAGGACAGGGAAGTGCAGGGCAGAACAGGGCAGGGCACGTATATGACAAAGCCACCACCGTAGCATCGTTGGATTCGTTAATTGCTCGCGTTACTGGCAAATTCTGCCAGAGTGGATTAGTGTTTGATTTGATGCACGTTGATATTACACTACTTGAACAGTGAACAAGTAACTACTTGGGTAGACTCGTAGAAGCTACACCACAGTAATTCGTTTGAAGATGTCTCGCCGAACTAGTTGAATTTTCGACACGTACGGCCAACCCGGTTGTTCGGTGTTTACGAGATGACCGTTTGAGGTGACGTGGGATGAGATGACCGTTTGAGGCCATAGAAGCTTTGCCAAAATATTTGGTAAAAAAATAATAATTCGGTAAAAATACAGATAAAATTCGGATAAAAAATAGCAAAAAAAATCAAAATAAGATGAAACATATGTATCTCAGTAATAAGTGCAGACAGACAGAAACGAGTTGGTATGCCTTGCATACTTTCAAGCGTGTGAATTATCTACGTTACGTGATCAAACTGAACCAAAAACATCGAGGTGGTAGCCTTGCTTTGATCTGATGTGAACCTGAACTAACCCGACCTTATCCCATGACCCTTATCCGCAATATTGTATGGCTACGTTTGGCATGAAAATGTTTTGTCTCCTTGTTTCCAGCTAAAAAGCTCTATTAACATGATGACCATGGTCTAGAAGATCTGAAGGTATTCGGTGGCTTGGTGATTTTGTTTCACCATTATCACCCCAATAGAAGGCACGCTAAATCCAAGGCTTTTAAAATTATTGCATCACCAAAATACAACTCTAGTAAATTATGGCACCGAGATCAAGTGACAGAACATAACGCAAGTTTCTCTTTATGTAAGCCAAAATCCACTTTTTCCGCAGCTACTTATTCCATTGATATTGTTCCCGATCTACACACCATGACATGAAATCTGCCTGAGTAAAGCTTGCGTAGATTGCCCCTCTGCTAGAACGCTCGATAGCGTAGTTGAATACCAATCTCAATAGCGTTGTTGCCTCGTCATGAAAGGGTGTGTTCGACGCCATGAATATTAAGAGCTACATTAGTACTCAAATGCATAGATATTTTTCACATTTTTCCTGTATGATGGATATCCGTTTCTTTGTACATAATTGTGAATCTTGACACATTGTTTTGCGGAGCCACCGATCACAGAAAACAAAATTAAGGTACTTTGTCGGTAGACTGCCGCGAGACACGTACAAAGGGAGCAGCAATGCACATCATAAAACAAATTTGCTTAAGAGCTGCTAGTTATCAATTTTACAAGACGGGTCAGCACGTCGAGAGCGACTCGTGATCACTGATGCTTTTGGGCGGTCCGATGTTGATTTTCTATGGATCAATGAAGCCACGTGATCCTCATCACCGATAGGCGAGTCTAGCACCGAATCACGCGACATCGAGGAGGCTGTATGCCGTCTGGTACGGACTATGTCAATGTTCTCTAGACAGCAGCAGCTGTGCTCAAAGTATACACACTTTAAAACCCACACCTCATGTTTTTAACCTATCGGCGTCGATTTATTCTGAACATTCAGTTGTATAGAGTATATTCAGTATAGAACAACCGCTGAAACTGTTCGAAACGGTCGTCTTTAGCAAGCAGTGCCATTTGGCTGAGTTTACCTTGCAGTCTTAGTTGTCTCAAACTCGAATAAAATGCAATAACACTTGAGCAGACTTGACTATAGTTTCGCAGGCTATATTTGGCTGTATCTTCTTGATGTGGTTTTACGATTTTGACAAAGTGTGAACCATGTGACTAAGTGTTTAGAGTCAAAGGCTTACGGTATAGTCACTGGCAGTGAAGGGTGTACAGTCAACTGTTGATAAAGATGTGTAGTTGCCGAGATAGTCTGCTATCGATAAAATAGTAATTTCTGACGGGTGATTATCCATGGAGCAAATGTGATGGTACCTCATTAAATTACTTAATCACACGCACACACAATGCCACGTTGTACGAAATCAGCCAAATTTATATGCAAGATAGGCATTCGTTTGAATCCGAAATACCGCGGACAAGTTAGTGCACCAGCCCATTCGAGGGTGCACAAATACAGGCTACACGTGCTCGTTAGCTGATGTGGGGGCTCCTGCCCACACGGGCCCAACTCACCTTACTGAACATGTTTGATGCTTGTGAGTCCGACTGCAACGTTCACTGACTGCAGCTGAGTTCTGCGTCTCCCTTATATACCGCCAACAGCGCCACACCACTTTCCCGCCTCTAGCCCGGGGCGTCGGCACGCGCCAAGGTTGACACCCACCCAGAGACCCACCGTCCCCTCGGCTGACTTGAGAGGGGGGAGGGGCGTAGCCGGGGCGTGGTACTCTGGCAGGCAATCTTCACTCCGGTCATGACCTGTGATAGTTGGGTGTGCGGTCTTTCTCATGTGCGATCACACAGAGGCGTCTCTTTGCCACTGCGGTGGTGCACACGATGTGAGGCAGCGTTTAGATGAAGATTTCTGTGCTGAGAAATGAGTGCTGGGTGGAGCACTCGCAGGCCCACTCATGCTCGAGGTGTTTTATCTTGCATATCAACGGGACTGACCCAGTGTTCATATACGAGGCCAGGGGCGAAGGGCAGAAAACGATTACCCCAGCCCTGCCATTTTAAAGTGTTTCGAATAAAAATGGCCTTAAGCACGCCTATGTTTACGGCGCCACACACCATTGCAGAATTGCAACCATAAAGGGATGCTTGTGATTCATTTGGAGCAAACTGAGATGGGGCTCATGTGCTTGAAGGCAACATTGATGATGTAGAGTCCCGTTACGTGACGGTAACGTCACTGCCACACGCCAACGGGAAATTTCTCGGCTCCCGCCCGCCGTCCGCGCCGGCCGCGAATTGCCGTTGAGTGTCTCTAATAAAACATGTCGCTCCTTAGTAACTATATATGCCACAGACATATGGTTAGTGTCGAAACATCCGTAATAAATACCCCTGAGCCTACTGAGAATTCAGGCTCACTTGCACGACACGCCTGGGATCATTTGGACAAATTCCTTGGGCAAGTTCGCCTCCCTCTCCAACTATCGGGGAGAGGGTATCCATAACGTGTATTATTTACTTGATGTGCTTTTTCGATCGGTAAGTCGCAAGCGCCATAGATGTAAAGATGATGGAGTTAATGACTGCTTAAACTGTTGTCATTATCGACGTAACTGTGATTGTCGCTCTCATCGTCGTTTATGGATTGTGGATTAGATGAATCTGTGACACCTGCACTTTCTGCCAAAGATGTCACAATGTATGAAGTGACGATGCCGAAAATGTAGCATCCATGCTGTCAAAGGTCGCATCGAACGCTCCCAACCAATCTCGCATGCAGAATACGTCAGAGCCAATAACCTTAATGTTGTTTACCTGGTAACAATGTAGGGCAGAGAGGTCCGAGACAGGCGAGATCTTGCAACACCAATTAGGGTCATTTCTATAACAATAGCTGAGCCATGTTGTTGCAGGGCATCTTCCTTCTTGGTGATGGTAATATTCAGGTCAGATCTTGTCACGGCATGCGCATACAGCACTGCCTCGAGAACATTCTGTTCAGCTAATTAAGAAAAAAATTAAAAGCGCTAACATCGTCACTCAATACATTGCTGTTTCAGTTGAAGAAGGCTCCAGATATAAACAGAACAAAGACATTTTAGCCACCGTTGAAATAAAGTTGGCGAAATCCGGTAACTCATTTTTGGGGAGGGGTATTTCACTAGGAGGACCCCCACGGTAACACTGTGTCCTCCGTCCCCCACCAACAGTCCAGCTGTGCCCTTGACACCAGGGGAGGAACCAGGATTTCATAAGACCCCAGGTGTGTAGGAGATCTTGGGGTCATGGTCCAAAACCTTTTTGAGCACATGTCTACTTGAGGTATGACAGATCATTTTATGGCTTATTTAACCTCCTGTACCTAACTTCGCTTGGCACATTAGATTTTCATTCGGCCGAATTTCCAGTTGGTGGCCTCAGCTGATCAGATGCTCTAAACGTCTTTCATGTTCAGGCCAGACAGGATTTCCTGTTTAGGTGAGGTGTTTTGGTATTTTTGATGTTCCGAACAGATGTTATTTGGACCGCCAGGAATGCCGGAAGTTTGTAGGTATTGTAAGCTGTGTTTTGAACAAATTTTGTATACCAGTACAAAATGGCACTTGCCATTGATCTTTGTTAGAAGAGATCGAGTGCCTAATGGATATGCCGTGAGCATATCAGATGTTTTAATAGAGTTGTCGGATGAAGAGCCGCACCCAGGCCTGGAAGCGTATGGCAATGCGTGCTGGGCGATAGATAGGCAACAGGCAGTGAGTAGTAATGACTCAGGTGACTCAAGACTCTAGTCCGACCAGCGCCCGAGACAAGGCCGGTCCACTCTGGTCCACCGTCGACTCGTGCCCGATGATCATGGAGCACTGATAATGTAGCCACTGACAATATGCAAGACACAACAATGAAGGTGTTTTGAGGAAATTTTGCGTAGCAGTTGACTTTGTCCAGCATTCTAACTTTAGCCTGAGAGAGATAAATGACTCCCCCATCTTTTAAAGCGTTGTCTTAATGATGGAGTCGCACGCGACTTCACAGGTTTGACCTTGGCCTGAACCGATAGTCGTATCGGCAGTGGCACGTGTGAAGGACGTAGTTTTGCAAAATGAATGAGTGGGGCTGATTAGTGAAAAATGGCTCTACACCAATAAATTAGGCCAGCAAAGGGGTTGAAGCATAAGCTGCGGATATTGAAGGCCTCAAAACATCAAACGGCATCCCGTCCGTGGTGTAGAGCTTTGTCTCCGATTTATGTCGCATGGTGTACTTGTCATGTCTAGTCAACAGAGGTCAAAGGCCAGTCAGCCGAGGTCAAATATCATGTGGAATTGAAACGAGCAAACACTTAGCGGAGTTGAAACGAGCAAACATGCGCTTTCACCTAATAACGTAACCCCGTTCGGGGCCGGAGAATGAATTCGCCCTCCCCCCCCCCCCCACACTTTTTCTGTGGTTTCTTCAAAACGGATACCTGTCGGTGGTTGAACACTCTAAGTTTGTCTAAATATTTGTTACGACAGACTGAGCCAAATCTTAGAATTCATGGTATGGGCAGGAGCAGCACCAGTGTTAAATATTGGTAGGGAACAAGTGGGATTTCACTTCAATGGCAGAGTGGTGGCTCTCGGAGTTGTACACGCTGCCTAGCATTCGCAGGGCATACTCTTACTTCCGGCAAATAACGCAGCTGAAACAAAAGTGTGACATTGCAAGATACGACGCAGAATGGCAAAAGCGGTTCCAACGCTCCAAAAAGCAGGAGTTTTTAAACCGTGCCAAATGTATCACGGATGCAAAATGCAAAGATGTAAAAGACGTTGTGGTAATTAGGTGCGGAGCTTTATATTCCAGATCAATTTTACACAAAACATAATATATATATATATATATATATATATATATATATATATATATAGTAACAAAGGGTTGTCCCAGTTTGGCAACTGTGTCGTAAGGGAATGCAGCGTCATACTAAACCATCTTCTGTTTGCTCCGAGCTGAATCCGGAGCCCATTATATTCCCCTTCCAGGCCCATGTAGTGCAGAAACACAACAGTCACTTGTATGAGCAATGCTGGGACGATGCAAAAAGGCCAACGCCAGGCGACATAAGTCGCATCAGGCTTGGAACATGTTTCAAGGGAGTGCTCTACGTTAAAAGAGTTTTAAGCGAACATCAGATATGATGAAATAACCTCACTTACAACTACTGGTATGCGTTTAAGTGGAAAAATTATTTACACAAAAATGCTCACTATATAGTATATCTGCTGTTCATTATGTGATTGACTGCTCCATAGAGCAATTGCATGGAGCATTCGCTTGTAGTTCTTCAACCTTCCGAGAGGTGGCGCGCGGCGACGCTAGATGTGTGCTGAATCAAATATTTTTTAGCTGCGCGTGCTTTGGCCTGTTCTCGTGGTGCTCTTCCCTATTCATCTACGGTTTTAAGGCGCATATTTCTATTCACATACTTCATTATGGCACTTTTATTAAGCTATTCGATGTTGGAGTTGGGCTGACGGGCTTGGAGCGCCCACCTCATTTTGGTATGGGGTGCACGGGCTCACATAGGTAAACCATCTCGTTGTCTGTTACGTTCTGATAGTGGCATGTTTTCTGACGATGGACTGAGCACAGTCCTCTTTGAACGTGAAGAAACAGAGAACACAAATCAGAAGTTTATTTACAGCGCACAAATCACTCGGCACACTCGCTGAAGTCAGGTACGTGACAAAAATCACTCTACGTTCCTCCGCCACTCCGCAGAAGACATAAACAGCGCGAAACATAATTCATACGCATGCATTGCCTGTATTCAATGCAGTGTAATAAATAAAGTGTTTCTAGCAGTCGAGAAAGGTAGAGTGGATTGATGTCTTCATTATCTAGACCTTCTTCAACAGATCTAGGCCTGTTCCCTGGGAGCCAGTCAACGCTCTAGTAGTGGGAGGGCTCTGAAATGTACCAAGCAATCACTTACGTACACTCACTTTGTGAAACATTGCATTCAGTCGATATGAGGCAATCCCCTAAGAACGAGACGATACTGTCACAAACACGCCCCGCAAGAAGAGGGGTCGAGTAGTCACATTTATCTGAGGTAATCAGTACCTCGTGTTGTGGAAGGTTGCAGCAGGTCTAAGTCTGTAGTCTATCGGGGTGGTGATACGCTTTAGCACGGAAAACATTTGTATTTCATTGGTTATTTAGAATCGTCTCGGCGTAACAGAAGCATTGAGTGAAACAGAAACAGTGTTAGTATCTCTGCAGAGATCATACGTAAACAAATGACGAGGAAGTAAACATTCTAAGCGTCATTAGTGACTACATGGAGCTGCCTGAAAACAGAGCGTCCAGGCGCCAAGCACAGTCAGTTCGAACAAAGCGTGAAGTCAACTGTGCCTATTCGCCGTTACGTATCCGACCTTAGCCGACCTCAATTGAGCTCTGACTGACCATAGGCCGGGGCAGCGTAGTCTCCGTGTCCGCCGTAAGGCGTGCGGTCGTAGCCGGCCGGCTGGTAGCCGTAGCCGCTCTGCTGGTAGCCGTAGCCGCGGGGCTGGTACGAGTAGCCTGCGGCGTGCGGACGGGGGCTGTACCTGCACGGGATGACGAGGCCGCGTCAATGGCGTGGGGGGAGGGTGTCTTAACTGTCACTGTTCTACAGTGTCTCATTCGAAAAAAGAATATTCACAGTGAAACGATCTTGATGCTGGCTTAACATGGATGTGGAAAGGCACATCAAAGCTGACTGCCTTCTGCATCACAGCTTGCTGTACCAAATGTAACAAAAGTCATCTCGCTGTTTTTTGTTCAAGGTGGCGCACCGCATCTGTAAGCATCAGCACACCACGGCTCTCTGTGGCGCCCCCAGCCCCGCTGCACACTCACGCGTTGTCGTGGCCGTAACCCTGGTCGCGACCGGCGTAAGTCACGCCCTGGTAGCCGGCGGCGTAGCCGTAGACGGCGGTCGGGGCGTAGCCGGAGCCGTAGCTGGGGCGAGCCGGGGCGTAGGCCGACTGGTGGTACGTCTGCACGGGCTGGTAGCTCGGGCGGTAGCTGCTCTGATGGGGCGCGGCGTACCCCTCCGAGGCGTAGCTAGCCGGGCCGTGGTTGGGCGAGACGGGGGCGTAGCTGGGGGCGGCGCCGTGGTAGGAGGAGCTGGGCGAGTAGACCGGCTCGGCGTGGTTCGAGGGGTCCGACGAGTAGCTAGTAGACGGAGCGCGGTAGGACGAGCTGCTGGACGAGTAAGAGGGGGACGGAGCGTGGTACGAGGAGCCCGACGAGTAGCCAGTAGACGGAGCGTGGTACGACGAGCTGGACGAGTAGGTGGGGGACGGAGCGTGGTACGAGGACCCCGACGAGTAGCCGGTAGACGGAGCGTGGTATGACGAGCTGGAGGAGTACGAGGGGGACGAAGCGTGGTACGAGGAGCCCGACGAGTAACCAGTAGATGGAGCGTGGTACGACGAGCTGGAAGAGTAAGTGGGGGACGGAGCGTGGTAGGACGAGCCAGAGGCGTAGCCAGCCGACGCCGCGTGGTAGGAGCTGGCAGGGGCGTAGGTGGTGGAAGGAGCGTGGTACGTCGACAATCCAGAGCTGAAACGAGGCCGAGATGTCAAACGAAGTCAGCTGAATTCCTAAAAAAATTCATGGAGTCGGTTATACGTTGCCCGTGTGTGCATGCCGCACGAAAAGGTAAAATTAGCTCGAATAAGGTGTGCTCAAACCAATTTCATCCAAATCATCCTAAAATGGTGAATATGGCACGACCCCCCCCCCCCACACTTCCATTTCCACGGATCAGACTCTTTACCTTCTGCCGGCATCTCAGTTGGTTGGTTCTCCCCAGCGTTTGGCAAAGGGAGGTGACAGCGATCAGCGACTTACTGCACCGAGCCGAGGCTGCTGTGGGAGAAGCTGGTGGACGAGCTGTCCGTCTTCAGGTCCTCAGCCGCCTTCTTCTCCTCGGCGGCCAGGCAGGCCGTGGCCAGAAGGCCCACCACAAACAGCTGCCGACAGAGCGGCCGGTCAGGTCAAGGCATGGCATGGCAGGGCAGGTCAGCAGGGCAAGGGAGTGCAGGGCAGGGCAGGGCAGGGAAGGACAGGGAAGTGCAGCGCAGGTACATGACAAAGCCGCCACCGTAGCATCGTTCGGTTCTTTAACTTCTCGCGTTATTGGCGAATTTTGCCATAGTGAATTATTGTTTGATTCGACACACGTTTATATTACACTACTTAAACAGTGAAAGAATTAACTATTTGGGTAGACTCGTAGAAACTACACCACCTTGATTCGTTTGAAGATGTCTCGCCAAACGAGTTCAATTTTTGACACCTACGGCCGGTGACACCTACGGCTGTTTGGGGTTTACCAAATGACCGTCTGAGGTGACGTGAGATGAGCTGGCCATTTGAGGCCATAGACGTTTTGCCAAAATATTCGGTAAAAAAATATTTCACATATGTATGTCAGTAACAAGTGCAGACAGACAGAAACGAGTAGGTACACCTTACATTTTTTCAAGCGTGTGAATTATCTACGTTACGTGATCAAACTGAACCATAAACATCGGGGTGGTAACCTTCCTTTGATCTGATTTGAACCTGCCCTGGCCTGAGCTTTTCCCGTGACCCTCATCGGCAATATCGTATGGCTATGTGTGGTGTGAAAATGCTTGGCCTCCTTGTTTCCAGCTAAAAAGCTCTATAAACATGATGACGATGGTCTGAGAGATCTGAAGGTATTCGATGGCTTGGTGATTTTGTTTCACCATCATCACCCCAATAGACAGCACGCTAAATCCAAGGCTTTTAAAATTATTGTATCACCAAGAGAAAACTCTAGTAAATTATGGAACCGAGATCAAGTGAGAGAGCAAGACGCAAGTTTCTTTTTATGTAAGCCAAAATCCATTTTTCCGAAGCTACCTACTCCATTAATATTGCTCCCGATCTACGCGCCATGGCATGAAATCTGCCTGAGTAAAGCTTACTTAGAGTGCCCCTGTGCTAGAACGCTCGATAGTGTAGTTGAATACCTATCTCAATAGTGCTGTTGCCTCGTCATGAAAGGGTGTGTTCGACGCCATGAATTTTTAGAGCAACATTAGTTCTCAAATGCATAGATATTTTTCACATTTTTCCTGTGTAATGGATATCCGTTTCTTCATACATAAGTGTGAATCTTGACACCTTTTTGCGGAGCCACCGATCACAGAAAACGAAATTAAGGCGATTTGTTTTAGACCGTCGTGAGACAGGCACCAATGGGAGGGGGGGGGGGGGGGGAACAATGGGCATTACAAAGCAAATTTGCTTTAGAGCTGTCATTTATCAATCTTACCAGACGGGTCAGCACGTTGAGGGCGGCTCATGATCACCGATGCCTTTGGGCGGTCCGATGTTGATTTTCTATGGATCAATGAAGCGACGTGATCCTCATCACCGATAGACGAGTCTAGCATCGAGTCACGTGACGTCGAGAAGGCTGTATGCCGTCTGGCACGGACTAAGTCAATGTTCTCTAGACTGTAGCAGCTGTCCTCACAGAAAACTTTAATACCCGAACCTCGTGTTTTTAACCTATCGGCGTCGATGAGTCTGAACATTCAGTTGTTGACTGCTGAAACTGTTGGAAACAGTGGTCTTCAGCAAGCAATGTCAGTCGGCTAAGTATACAAGTATCTTTGTTGTCCCAAACTAGAAATGAAATATAGCAATAAGTGGGTAAACTTGACCATGTTTTCGCAGACTATATTTGATTTGATTTTCTCCATGTGGTTTTAAGGTTTTGACAAAGCATGAACCACGTGACCAAGAGTTCAGAGTCAAAGGCTTATGGTATAGTCACTGGCAGTGAAGGGTGTACAGCCAACTGTTGATAAAGATAGGCATTCGTTTGACTAGAGTCCGAAATATCGCGGGAGAGGTTAGTGCACCAGCCCATTCGAGGGTGCACAAATACAGGCTGGATGTGCTCGTTTCCTGATGTGGCGGCTCCTGTCCACACGGCCCCAACTCACCTTAGTGAACATGTTTGACACTTGTGAGTCCGACTGCAACGTTCACTGACTGCAGCTGAGGTCTGCGTCTCCCTTATATACCGCCAACCGCGCCACACCACTTTCCCGCCTCTAGCCCGGGGCGTCGGCACGCGCCAAGGTTGACACCCACCCAGAGACCCACCGTCCCCTCGGCTGACTTGAGAAGGGGGGGGGGGGGAGGCGTGGCCGGGGCGTGGTACTCTGGCAGGCAATCTTCATCCCGGTCATGACCTGTGATGGCCTGGCGTGCCGTCTTTCTCATGTGCGATCACACAGGGGCGTCTCTTTACCACTGTGATGAGGCACACGAGGTGAGGGAGCGTTTGGATGAGGACTTCTGTGCTGAGAAATGAACGGTGGGGAGGGGGGGGGGGCACTTGTAGTACCACTCATGCGCAAGGTGAGGGAGTGTTTGAATGAAGACTTCTGTGCTGAGAAATGGGCAGAGGGTGCAGCACTCGCAGAACCACTCATGCGTGAGGTGAGGGAGCGTTTGGATGAAAACTTCTGTGCTGAAATATGGGCGGCGGGGGGGGGGGGGGGGCACACGCAGGGCCACTCATGCTCGGGGTGCTTTGTCTTGCATGTCAACGGGACTGAAACACTGTTAATATAGGAGGTCTGGGGTGAAGGGCAGGAAACGATTACCCCGCCGGATCAGGCGTTTTCATGACGTGAGCGCATGGGTCGATGCGACGGAACCCCAGCACAGGCCATTTTAAAGTGTCTCAAATACAAATGTCTTTGAATTAAGCTCAGTTTGCTTTGCGACGGGCAAAAGCTGCCCGTCGCAAAGCTAGCAAAAGTTTTGTTTGAATATGCCAATAATTGGTCCCGTTTGGCTCAGACAAGAGCCCATTGTCAAATCGAACTAAGCTACTTCAGTACGCCAATATTTGCGACGCCACACAACATTACAAAATTGCAACCTTAAAGGAGTGCTCGTGATTCATTTGAAGCAAACTGAGATGGGGTTCATGTGCTTGAAGGGAGCACCGATGATGTAGAGTCCCGTTACGTGACGGTAACGTCACTGCCACACACCAACGGGAAATTTCTCGGTTCCCGCCCGCCGTCCGCGCCGGCCGCAAATTGCCGTTGAGTGACTTTAATAAAACATAGCGTTACTCAGTGTCTATTTATGCTACAGACATATCGTTGGCGTCGAAACATTCGCAATAAATACCCCTGAGCCTACTGAGAATTCAGGCTCATTTGCACGACACGCCAGGGCTCATTTAGTCAAATTTCTTGCGCAAGTTCACCTTCCTCCCAACTATCGGGGAGAGGGTTTCCATAACGCGTGTATGATTTACTTGATGTGCTTTTGCAATCGGGAAGTCGCAATCGCCATAGATGTGAAGATAATGGAGTTAATGATTGCTCAAGCTGTTGTCATTGTCGACGTGGCCATGATTGTCGCTCGCGTCGTCGCTAATGGATTGAGCATTAGATGAATCTGTGATGCCTGCACTTTCTGCCAAAGATGTCACAATGCATGAAGTGACGATGTTGAAAATGTAGCATCCATGCTGTCAAAGGTCGCATCGAACGCTCCCAAACAATCTCGCATGCAGAATACGTCAGAGCCAATAACCTTAATATTGTTTACCTGGTAACAATGTAGGGCAGAGAGGTCCGAAACAGGCGAGATCTTGCAACACCAATTAGGGTCATTTCTATAACAATAGCAGAGCCATGTTGTTGCAGGGCATCTTCCTTCTTGGTGATGGTGATATTCAGGTCAGGTCTTGTCACGGCATGCGCATACAGCACTGCCTCGAGAACATTCTGTTCAGCTAATGAAGAAAAAATTTCAAAGCGTTAACATCGTCACTCAATACATTGCTGTTTCAGTTGAAGAAAGCTCCAGATATAAACAGAACAAAGACATTTTAGCCACCGTTGAAATAAAGTTGGCGAAATCCGGTAACTCATTTTTTGGGAGGGGCATTTCACTAGGAGGACCCCACGGTAACACTGTGTCCTCCCTCCCCCGCCAAGAGTCTGGCTGTGCCCTTGACCCCAGGGGAAGATCCAGGATTTCATAAGACTCCAGGTGTGTATGAGATCTTGGGGTCATGATCCAAAACCTTTTTGAGCACATGTCTACTTGAGGCATGACAGATCATCTCATGGTTTATTCAACCTCCTGTACCTGACTTTGCTTGGCACATTAGATTTTCAGTAGGCCGAATTTCCAGTTGGTGGCCTCAGCTGATCAGATGCTTCAAACGTCGTTATGTTCAGGCCAGACAGGATTTCCTGTTTAGGTGAGGTGTTTTGGTATTTTTGATGTTCCGAACAGATGTTATTCGGAACGCCGGAAATGCCGGAAGTTTGTAGGTATTGTAAGCTGTGTTTTGAACAAATTTTGCATATCAGAAAAAATGGCACTTGTAGGGCTTGTTTGTTAGAAGAGATCGGGTGCCTAATGGATATGCCGTGAGCATATCAGATGTTTTAATAGAGTTGTCGGATGAAGAGCCGCACCCAGGCCTGGAGGCGCTTGACAGTACCTTCCGCGTGATAGTTAGGTAACAGGCAGTGAGCAGTAATGACTCAGGTGACTCAAGACTCTAGTCCGACCAGTGCCCGAAACAAGGCCGGTCCACTCCGGTCCACCGTCAACTCGTGCCCGATGATCATGGAACACTGAGAATATAGCCACTGACAATATGTGAGACACAACAACGATGAAGGTGTTCTGAGGAAATTTTGCGTAGCAGTTGACTTTGTCCAGCATTCTAACTTTAGCCTGAGAGAGATAAATGACTCCCCCATCTTTTAAAGCGTTGTCTTAATGATGGAGTCGCACGCGACTTCACAGGTTTGACCTTGGCCTGAACCGATAGTCGTATCGGCAGTGGCACGTGTGAAGGACGTAGTTTTGCAAAATGAATGAGTGGGGCTGATTAGTGAAAAATGGCTCTACACCAATAAATTAGGCCAGCAAAGGGGTTGAAGCATAAGCTGCGGATATTGAAGGCCTCAAAACATCAAACGGCATCCCGTCCGTGGTGTAGAGCTTTGTCTCCGATTTATGTCGCATGGTGTACTTGTCATGTCTAGTCAACAGAGGTCAAAGGCCAGTCAGCCGAGGTCAAATATCATTACCTTTTTAACGCCTTACCGTAGCATGTCAAGAATTCGTGGTGTACACTTAGTGGAATTAAAACGAGCAAACATGCGCTTTCACCTAATAACGTAACCCCGTTCTGGGCCGGAGAATGAATTCCCCCCTACCCTTTTTCTGTGGTTTCTTTAAAACGGATACCTGTCGGTGGTTGAACACTCGAAATTTTTCTCAATATTTGCTACCACAGACTGAGCCAAATCTTAGAATCCATGGTATGGGCAGGAGCAGTTCCAGTGCTCAATATTGGTAGGGAACAAGTGGGATTTCACGGTTATGGCAGGATGGTGACTCTCGGAGTTGTATGCACAGCCTAGCATTCGCAAGGCATACTCTTACTTCCGGCAAATAACGCAGCTGAAACAAGAGTGTGACATTGCAAGATACGATGCAGAATGGCAAAAGCGGTTCCAGCGCTGCAAAAAGCAGGAGTTTTCAAACCGTGTCAAATGTATCACGGATGCAAAATGCAAAGATGTAAAAGACGTTGTGGTAATTAGGTGCGGAGCTTTATATTCCAGATCAATTTTACACTAAACATTATATATATATATATATATATATATATATATATATGTATATATATATATATATATATATATATATATATATATATATATATATATATATATATATATGGTAACAAAGGGTTGTCCCAGTTTGGCAACTGTGTCGTAAGGGAATGCAGCGTCATACTAAACCATCTTCTGTCTGCTCCGAGCTGAATCCGGAGCCCATTATATTCCCCTTCCAGGCCCATGTAGTGCAGAAGCACAACAGTCACTTGTATGAGCAATGCTGGGACGATGCAAAAAGGCCAACGCCAGGCGACATAAGTCGCATCAGGCTTGGAACATGTTTCAAGGGAGTGTTCTACGTTAAAAGAGTTTTAAGCGAACATCAGATATGATGAAATAACCTCACTTACAACTACTGGTATACGTTTCAGTGGAAAAATTACTTACACAAACATGCTCACTATATAGTGTATCTGCTGTTCATTATGTGATTGCTCCATAGAGCATTTGCACGAGGGCATTCGCTTGTAGTTCTTCATCCTCCCGAGAGGTGGCGCGCGGCGACGCTAGATGTGTGCTGAATCGCATATTTTTTAGCTGCGCGTGCTTTGGCCTGCTCTCGTGGTGCTCTTGCCTATTCATCTACGGTTTTAAGGCGCGTATTTCTATTCACATACTTCATTATGGCACTTTTATTAAGCTATTCGATGTTGGAGTTGGGCTGACGGGCTTGGAGCGCCCACGTAGTTTTGGTATGGGGTGCACGGGCTCACATAGGTAAACCATCTCGTTGTCTGTTACGTTCTGATAGTGGCATGTTATCTGACGATGGACTGAGCACAGTCCTCTTTGAACGTGAAGAAACAGAGAACACAAATCAGAAGTTTATTTACAGCGCACAAATCACTTGGCACACTCGCTGAAGTCAGGTACGTGACAAAAATCACTCTACATTCCTCCGCCACTCCGCAGAAGACATAAACAGCGCGAAACATAATTCATACGCATGCATTGCCTGTATTCAATGCAGTGTAATAAATAAAGTGTTTCTAGCAGTCGAGAAAGGTAGAGTGGATTGATGTCTTCATTATCTAGACCTTCTTCAACAGATCTAGGCCTGTTCCCTGGGAGCCAGTCAACGCTCTAGTAGTGGGAGGGCTCTGAAATGTACCAAACAATCACTTGTGTACACTCACTTCGTGAAACATTGCATTCAGTCGATATGAGGCAATCCCCTAAGAACGAGACGATACTGTCACAAACACGCCCCGCAAGAAGAGGGGTCGAGTAGTCACATTTATCTGAGGTAATCAGTACCTCGTGTTGTGGAAGGTTGC